ATTAGAAATCTTTTTATTTATCTATACATAATATAAAAATTAGTATGAATTAAAAATTTAAATTATGAAAAATATCATAAAAATTTCGTGCATGACACGAGGAAAAAAAAACTAGTTTATCAATATAATAATATTTTCATGGGTAAAATTTTTGTGGGAATAATAAATACAATTAAAAAAAATAAGAGTTTTAACTTTTAAAGTGACTTACTTAAAGATATTTTATTAAAAAATTAATTTTAAATTTTAAAAAATAAATATATTTAAAATTAAAATTTTAAAGATATGTTATTATGCAGTTCATTAATAGCGTATAATATTATACACAAACGATATATCAAATATAAATCATAAAAAAAATCATGGTAAAATATTTTTAATATGTAAAACATAATATCTTTAATAAAATAAAATCAAAAAGTAAATCAACCAAATAATTAAATTAAAAATAATATTAATATAAAATTAGATTAAACTCATTAAACTTAGACTCCTTTTTTCGCAGAAAATGAATTCAAAAAAATAATTTTTAAAAAATATTTATATTTTTTAAATTGAAAAAGATTTTTCGTTGTTTGGTTGAGTTGATAAAAAATATTTTTTGTTGTTTAGTTATTTTTTGAAATATTTTTTCAAATAATATTAATATAACTATTAAAATATTAAAATTTATTTATTATTAAAATATATTGAAATTATTTATTATTAAAATTATTAATATTAAAAAATAATTATATTTTAATAATAATATTTAATATTAAAGTATTATGTTAATATAAAAACATTTAAAATAAAACTTTTTATTCTTCTTTATATTATTTATTAATAATATTTATTAATATATTATATTAGTAGTATATTATTTATTAATTAAATTAATAATATTTATGATTATATAATATTATTTATTTATTTATATAATATTATTTATAAGTAAAATTATGCTCAAATGTATTAATAAATAATTCTACTTATAAACAGCTTTTTTTTTTTTTTTAATTTCTTCCTCTTTTTAAATTTATAAGATAATTTTTTTAAAAATGATTTTATTTTTCATTAACCAATAACTCATTTTTTGTTAACCAACTAGTTTTTCATCAAACAAATATAAAAAAAATATGAAAATAATTATTTAAAAGTTATTTTCCTATAAAACAAACGGAACCTTTTATTAAAATAAAATTTCATGTATTATTAATATTTCTACCATTGTAGTTGCACCAATTAATCGTTGAAATCCAACAATAATACAATATAATCTAAAATAGAATCTGTCTTTTGGATACTATAATATTATTAAATGTTATAAATAATAGAATAAGATTTTGAATAATTTTTTTATATAAAAAAAATCATAGTTTAAGATTAAAAAAATTACAAACGATAAAATTTAAATTTTAGATTTACTTAATATTGTTTTTTAAAAATAATTATATAAACTAATTAAATTAAAGTCTACTTGAATTGTTTTCATAACCAATATTCCATTAATAATTACGTTTAAACTTTAAAGTTTGAAATAAAAATTCAAAATAATATCTAAATTTAGCACTCTACTTAGGATGGTGAATCAAATTTATCACTCGTATATGAACAAGTATAATTTTATTATGTATTTTTTAATTTAATTAAAACAAATAAAAAGTTAGTATATTTTATAAAATATTTCATTTATTTATTTATTATATTTTTTTGCCATTTACTTTTAACTTGAAGTGTCTACAAGATCATATTGAACCAAACCGTCTGGCACTTCTAAAACTCAAGGCCGAGTTCGACTTACTATTTCAAGTTATGATTATTTTTAAATTTTGAATTGTTTTACATTTTAAATATTTTGAATTAAAGTTTAATTAAAATATATTATTATTATTATTATTTTTTTTTTGTGAAATTTAAACCTAAAACATCATGTTCAACATCTTAATCAAAGTCGAAACAAGCTTGCGAGCCTAACAAGAAGTCGAATTTTGTGAACATATATGATTTTGAGCATTGTTTAACCAAGTTAAAAAAGTATAACAGTAAAAATTACATTGATAAGTTTAATTATTTTAATATAAGTTAGAATTCCGGACCTCATCCGAAACTGATATCCTAGCTAAAGTTCAAAATAATAACATTTTAAGTTCAAATCCATGATTGACATAAGTAATAAACTCTAATAGAGAATTAGTTTAGTAAGATTTAATTTTTTTTAGTCTAATAAAAATAATATATCATTAATAATAGGTTAACGAATTTAATTATAATTAAACTATCAAATTCACATATAATTTTTTTATTTGCTTTGCAAAAATTCTTTTAATACTGCTAACAACGATTCCTAATACGAAAATTCAAGAAAATTTTTTATTACATCGAATCAAACTCTTCAACATCATTTGTAACAACCGTATAGTAATGTTTCTCTTAAAAAATTAAAAGACACATCTGTTTGTTTTATTTATTTGTGTGTTTATCTACATATTTATTGCTAAGACAATTTAATTATTTTGTTTTTTTTTTTTTTGAAGCATGATGAATTGATACTCAATGGTTAGAACAAATTAATTTTCCCAAACCAATTCTCAACAAACCTTATCTCATATTATGATTTTACTAGCTTTAAGTTAGGAGGCTCTACTAATATTTAGGATTGAGCATCGATCGGTTATAATCAATTTAACCGATTAAAATATGTTAATTTGATATGATTTTTCCGAATTTAGTATTAATTAATCGGAAAAAATAATTTTTTATTAATTTGATTGGTTATCAAATTTTAAAAAATACTAATAATGAAATAGATCAAAGTAATCAATCTAATTAATTAATTTATATATATTTTTTATAATATAAATAAAACATATTTTTTTAAAATTATGATATAATATTTAATTTATTATTTGTTGTATAAATATAACATAATTAAAATAATTTTCATGTAATAATATAAATATATATATTTAAGAATAATTAGAATTGAATAAGTTAGTCCAACTGATTGATTTAAGTATATTTCAATTAATTAATTTAATTTGATTGATTAATTTGATTTTTAAAATTTTAAAACTGAATTAATCGAATGCACTCCTGCTAATATTAGTATTTAATGGAATCAACAAAAGAAATTTAAAAAATGGTGCCGAAACAAACAAGCAATGGGGACTGAGGTTATAGCTTTTGCCAGAAATTCCTAACCAAATGAAAGGCCATAAAAGCAGCAGACTTTTCCGATTGCGATTCAACCAAACTACCAGAAAAACCATAATTGCTAATGAGAAACAGAGAAATGATGTGGACACGTCACCTGCATTGCCTCCCTTAAAAGCTCCCCATTTTGTAACCCAACCCAATGATACGCACTCGTGCTACAAACTACAACCTCCCCCACGCGCCCATGCCCTTCTTTACTCTTTCTTTTTTTTTTTTTTTATCAAAATAAATTGGTTTAAAATTATACTATTTTTTTTTATTTTTTATCAAATACTTTTTAATAAAATAATATTTAAAACATATGTTATGGACTTAAAATATTGCTCTCTTATTACTCAAACACTAATATATATTACTATGCTAAATATCAAAATTTTTTTAATGCATCTATAGTCATAAATCTTATATGAACGATAAAAAAATATTAAAGAAATAGTAAATAAAAAAATTTAAAATAAATAAAATATCATTTATTCATTGTATTGTTTTGTTTGTTTTTTCAAAATTTAAATTTATATTTTGTGAATTATAGAAATATACAATATTTAAACTTGACTCTTAATGACTGATTATTAATAAGAATATCAAGAAAGTTTGAAAATAATTAAGAAAAGTGTAAAAATAAAATAATACTACTCAACACCACGTCATTAACTTGAGGTTTTAGCAATACATTTATAAGCGAAATGCCGACTGTCACAATCTTCCAAAGGTTATGCTATTTGGAAAGACATATTAAGTATTTAAATGAATAAATTGACTATTAACATGTATATTGGTTAGATTTTTGAAATTATAAATTTAAAAAGATTTAAATTCGTAATTTATTTTTAAATAAATTTAAATAAAAAATAATTTAACTCAACCATTTCATTATTAGCTTTTTAGATTTCAAACAATTTGTAAAAAAATGTGGTCAATCTAATCAATTTTTAATTATTGGCCCAAAAAATTAATTTTTAATTATTAAAAATTAGATTCCATTATTTTTATGTTACATAAATTTAAGAGTATTCACAATGCTAATCAATTTGATAAGGAAAATATTTTTTTTGTTTTCAATTTTTGTAAAAATATAGTTCAATGATAAAATTATAAATGTATTAAATTAATATGAATGAATGTATTCTTAAAAATGATTTTATAGGTAAAATAAAATTTACTAATTTGATAATTATGTTTTTTTTTTTTTTTATAAAAGCAATAGATAATACAAAATTGGTTTAATAAAATATAGAATTTAACTTCAATTTCAATTAGAGACTTTTAAGTAAAAAGAAGAATTTTTTTTCTTTATTTCCTAATTTGCTTCTTTTTAAAATTTTTTTTTGAGTGGGTGCATTTCTCATTTGGTTAAAAACATTAAAAAAAAAATCAAAGTTTTATTGAAGGACAACAATTATTTTTTAAAATAGTAATTTAATTAATCCTAATAAATATTATTTTTTCAAAATTAAGACAAGTTGTTAGTTTAAGAGATTTTAGGAATTTTTTTTATATAAAATTTTTAGATTTAGAAATTATCTATTAACAAAAAACCCTTAAAAATTTAAACTTAAATACTTTAGATTTACACTCTAAACCTTAATTACTGTTAACATCCTAACAAATATTGATAAATCAATCTATCCTATCATTTTCTTTTTCTTCCTTTCACGATCGAGGAATCAAATCCTAAGAGGAAAAAGAAAGCTGAACTGCACGCACTGCAACTGCGTGTGCACAACGTTTAATAACCCAAGAGAAGTTCTTTTTAAGTACCTGCTCTCATTCTCATTTTCCTTCCTCTGCTGCCTTCTTAATATTTTGACTTCACTTTCTCTCTTGCTCTCTTTCTATTTGTCTGAAAACGGAGACAGAAGGGGCAGATGAGTCGTCTTGCACCATTATCAGAAGAACCCGTAAACGAAGAAGACTCAGCAAACTGTTCAAAGAAAGGCTTGTCATGGAAAAACTGGCTCAAAACCCATTTCTCTCTTGTCTTTAACAAGAAGTCTGACCTTAAGATTCTCTTAAGCGTTTTGGGTTGTCCTCTTTTCCCTGTTTCAATCCTTTCCAAACCACCCATCAATGAGGTAACCAAATGTAATGCTCTTTTTTTTTTTTTTTGGTTTTTAACATTTTGTTTTTGCTTGAAAGCTGAATGCATGAAGTTTATTGGTCTTTGGATCACTTGATATTAGATTCATGTATAAAGGTCCAGACTCATTGGAGCTTGTTTTTCTGGGTCCTTTCCTCCATGTGATTGTTTTTGATGAAAAGTTAAATAGAAGTGTTTATTTTTTTTTAATTGGGAATCTATTAAAAGTAACCAATGGCTTTGTGATCAATTGTTACTGGCAAAGAGAACAAGGTTGGGTTGGTTTCCTTAGTGCCTCTCCGCTAATATGGCCTGAAGTCCTGACTGCCCACTGGCTTTCCACCATGAAAGCATCCAAAAGAAGTAACAAGTTTTTTGTTGTTCCATTTTTATATGTCAGGTTGAGTTTGTGTAAGTAGCTAGGTGATTTAATTAATTAGAAGGTCCTTATTGTTCTTTTTTTCCTTTCTTTTCCTAAAAAAATGAACACACTCAAGGTCCATTTTATATATCAGTTGGTTGGATCTTGATCCTTTCAATCACATATTAAGGATATTCACTAAGGAATCATTGCTGAATGGCATCCAAAGGCCTTTGGCTTCCTCTAATTAATTGCCTTCTTGTTATGGATGGACCAATTGAGTTGTTGTGTTAGTGGTTTGATGGAGTATAGGCTTTCAAATTTATATCGTTGGAGGTTATAATGAACATTTAGTTTCCAAAATTGTAGGGCCAAAGAAATGAAAAACAATGCAGTATTGATAACTGAGTCTAAATTTGGTCTTTTGGTTTTTTAGGTTGGTATTAATTGAATCTACTACTGCACAGAGCTGATTGTTCATCTTTCTCAATAACTTGAAAGTGAAATTTTCGAAGGAATTTTCAGATTCACCTTAAAGAACCATCTTTAATTACGAACCAAAACTGTTGTGCATAGCAGGTATCTTCCTCAGCACAATACATTATACAACATTTTACAGCAGCAACAGGATGCCGGAAATCAGAAGGTAGAGTAAAGAACATTTTTGTGACAGGAAAAGTAACAATGACAATGGTAGATGAGCAAGGTGCCACAGCAGGCTCAGTGGCTGGAGTTGCACAAAAAGGCTGCTTTGTTATGTGGCAAATGGTACCTAATAAATGGCTAATTGAACTAGTTGTGGGTGGTCACAAGGTTGTAGCAGGTAGTGATGGCAATGTGGCTTGGCGCCACACGCCGTGGCTAGCATCACACGCTGCCAAAGGTGGTGTTCGTCCTCTACGGCGGGCTCTTCAGGCAAGTAATCTTTCTTAGATTTAGTTATCTGCGAATCTTTGTTATAATTGCACGTTCTTTTCTAATGGCTTCCCTTTGCTATAACAATTAGTGGTCCCATTTCTTAGCTTAAACTATTATTGGTCCCATTTGTTGGTATAAACAATTATTGGGACACGTTTCCTTACTTTTTAATAATTTCTGAGCTGACTTAGATCTATGCTATCTTGACTCGTGACTGTTTAGGAGTAGTGGGACATCTGCTTTACATGTAATTATTAGATGAACTATCAAAATGAAAATCATTTTGAGTTGATTATTTATTTCATTTGAGGGTGGAGGTGGATTAATGTGCATGAGATCAGCTTATTGATGATATTTTGATGCCTTGACATATTTCCACTAAACCAATAGCCTAGTACTATAGATCCTCCTGTAAATATAAGTGTTAAATTCTTGGTATATCTATTTTACTGTCTAATCTATTCTTATATGCGTGGTTGCCAAAATTTCCTTTTCAGTTGGCTAATTAGGGATCCTTACAGGATTGTGAAGAGGAAACTGAAAGGACAGTGATCTATTTCCTGGAGTGAAACTGTGAAAGTCGAATGTCTGATACTAGAATTGGTTATTACCCCCATTGTATTACTAACATTACTTCTGAACATTTGAACAATATTTTTCCAGCTTTCAATTGTGAAAAATCAAAAGACAATTTGCTTTCAAAAGTCGAAAATGTACTTTTGACTACCAATGAGCAATGCCTAAATGTTTCTTTCATTTGGAGATGGTCCCATTTATGATCAATTATCAAATAATTCATGTAGGGACTAGATCCTATGGCAATATCAGCTGTGTTTTCCTCTGCTCAGTACATGGGAGAGAAACGAATCTCTGGCACTGATTGCTTTGTGTTGAAGCTATCTGCTGATCAAGTAGACCTGACTGATAGGAGTGATAACACTGCCGAGATGATCAAGCATGTTATATTCGGCTACTTCAGCCAAAGAAGTGGGCTGCTGGTGTTTCTAGAAGACTCTTACTTGACTAGGATTCAGTCACCCGGAACCAACCCTACATATTGGGAAACCACAATGGCTACGAAAATTGAGGACTACAGGATAGTGGAGGATGTCATGATTGCACATTCTGGTCAATCAAGTGTTATCATCACAAGATTTGGGGACGACTTAAAGGCAGGTCTCTTGGTTACTCGCATGGAGGAGATATGGACAATTGATGATGTTGCATTCAATGTCCCTGGCCTCTCCCTGGATTGCTTCATTCCTCCCAAAGAAGTTCAGAAAGATTATCCAGAGGAGAATTTGGATTGGCGCTCACCCTCACCCTTGCATCGATGATAATGGCTGATAATCATTGGTGCTAATTGCTTCAACGAAGGCATTTGATAGTCACTCATCTAGTCATCTATTTGGCTTTTGTATATAAAACACATCTTCTACCATATATTATTTTTGGGTCCCGGAGTTTAGAACTCATAGAAGGATTTGATATTCATTTAAATGATTATGGAATCATTTTGTATCACTTGAAAATATATTTGTGCTATTCATAGTAGCTTTTGTGATCTTCGGAAATTTTGAGAAAAATACCAGTCTCTTGTTCTGCGTTGTTAAAATATCAAGGAACATATGTTGTATATACTTTGCATGTTACTGGCCATTTCACTGTTATTATGTTTCCCTCTATAATCAATTTTTCATTGTTTTCTAATATTTTACTTGGAGTAGGTAAGGTAAAGGTTGATCTGTATTAAAAATTTTATCATGTATTTGGTGAATCTATGAATCTTGATGCATGCCCCATAGCATTTGAAGCAAAAGAAAACCTGTAATTTCTACCAGTGTGGTTAAGCATATAGGATCTAACTTCAAGTAAAGTACAGTCAAAGAGTAGACTTACATTTTGGAGCAAAAGAAACTTAATTCTCACATAAACATTTTGATTTATACAAAAAAAAAAAAAAGATTTTGCTTACTAATGACTTAAAAGATATTATTTAAGATTATTATATTAAGTAATATATCCTTCACATACATTCAAATTATGAAATACTGCATTTAATGTAAGAATATTGTTATAAATAATAATTAGATTAGATTAATGTGTGTCTATAAGTACTGATTAAGGGTAATTAAATTATTATTCAAGAAAAAGGTTTTTCATTTAATGTATTATTTTTATTAAATTAAAAAAATACATTAATTACATATTTCTTTCTTTAAATATCATTTTAAGGACAAGTGTCATTAAATACTAATTAACATTTCTCATAATAATTTAACAAATCTGAAATAGTGCCTTTAGAAGATCATTAGCAAAACTCAAAATTAAAAATTTTAAAAATGTAATAATAAATAGAAATGTAAAAATACATAAAAACAAAAAAAACCAAAAAAATGAAATAAAAATCATTTCATTAAATTTATAATTTTTTTAGTTTTATTTACTTTTTAAAAATGTTTTTACAGGAAAATTTTATAATTTAGGATAAACATTGAAAAAAATCATATATTTAATCAAATAATTAATTAAAAAAATTACAACACTCTTAACATAACACAAAATCAACAACAAAGCATAATCAGAATACATGGAATACTGGATCTATTTTTTTTTAATTTTAATATTTTTATAATATTTTGTGTGTGAATTATTTTTATTAAAATAATATATTAAAAACAATGAAAAATTTTTCATAAAAACAAATGTGGTAGCATTAGGGTCGTCTCATAAAGTATTATGATGATATGAAAGAAGGAATAGCTTTCAACTAATACCAGAAAATAATGTCACCACTGACTTTGACTTTGAGCTCTTATAGCCGTTGGCTATGCCGCTTCAAAATCCTTCATTCCCAAAACGCACTTGTTGCGTTCTCTTCCACCGCCACCACCACTACCCCACCTAACGAAAATCAGACGCAGTCGAGTGGGCCCGCTCCGCCTCCGATCAGAGTTGCACTCACAGAGTCAGCAGGTCGAGGCGTGTTCGCCACTCGGAAAATCCGTGCCGGAGACACTATCCACTCTGCTAAACCTATCGTCTCTCATCCTTCCCTCTCTGCCATTGACACTATCTGTTACTTTTGCCTCAAAAAGATGAAACCTTTTACCGAGTCTCAATCTCAAGGCGTTTCCTTTTGCTGTGAAAAGTGCAAAGAAAGCTCCAAGGTTAAATGGGTTTACTTTTTTCTATTATTATTGTTTCTATGTGGGGTTTTTATTTGGTAACCACTAATAAATTAGTTGAAAAATGAGTTAGGCAAAGTCTTTTGAGTAGGACACCCACCAGTTGTTTGATCATTTAACTGCAAGCCATTATAAATTAAAGCAAATTGTAAAATAAAGAGGCAATAAAAAAATTGTTTCGTTTTAATTTTGAATTAGGAAGTTGAATGATGAGCTTTTTGTTTTTGTTTTTGTTTTTTTTGGTCTTGTACTATTAATTTGTAGTTGGCATTGATTTTAGGTGTTTTATGATGTTGAGAAGAAAGCAGATTGGGTAGATTTTGATGATTATTGCAGGTAAGAAAGTTCGCTTAGAAGTCTTCTACTAGGGCGTTGCTGTGATTTCCTTCATTTGTCTATGAATCATATGCCTCATTTCTCTGTTCTCTTCTTCTGTGCTGCAGGATAGATTGAATAGTTTGCCAATAATCACTTTGCAGGGGCTTAGGCCATGAAAAGTTGAGAATATTAGGTTTATAGAAGATGGGGATTTGGTTTTTTATGATTTTAATAAATTGGCAAGCTAGTAACATCTTTTGGAAGTCGATTACAGCATGTTTCTTGTAACAAATGGGATTACTAAGGAAAAATGTAGAGATGTCTGTGGTCTCTGGATTGGATAGAATAAGGGCAGGGGAGGGTGAGAGTGCAAGACATTCATGCCTCCCTCTTAAATTCAATGCCCTAAAATCCCTAATTGTTCATCCAAAAGCCCACCAGGTCACCACAAAGAGTTTACAGGCTGATTATAGATATCTACTGTGTATGTGTGGTACCATCTACCATTAAGGAAAAGAATTTCCTACTTGGCGTCTTTTGAGCATCAAGCTCTTCCCCCCTCCTAATAACAGTTCCGTTGCTTAAAATGCAAGAGAATGCAACATTGCACGACAGTGTCTATTGTTTTTGATGGCACGGAATTATACCTATGATGATACATATTTTAGAGTACGCAATTTATTTAGGTTGTCTTTTTCAGCATTTTCTTCTTTTAAAAGGTGTATTAATTTTTTTCTCTGAAACAAAAAAAATCCATTTAGAAAGTGATTAGACCATTAAATGTGCCTAATATTATGTTCTCTTGCTAGCCAAAAGGCAGTACATTGTCATGTGCAATCTATTTCTTTGCAAGTATTTTCTTTTCTATTGTGCCTTAGAACCCTGCTATTCATGCTGGAGATAGAACCCTAAAGCATTACATGATAATTTGGAGCATTTGCTTTCTTACTTCCAATTTTCTCTTTGTTAAGGACCCAAGGTCTGAAATTTCCCCTCTTGGTAAAGCGGTTAGCTTGTATGGTCATATCAGGAGCTGCACCTGCTGACATTGTTGACATACTTCAACCAGCTAGCTTAACTCAAAGGATGATTTTAAAGGTGAAAACCATATTTCCATTTTGGACTAATAGTAATTTTATAAATTCCCCAAATGACAAGCATCTTACTGGCAGATCAAGTAGAGTAGTATATTTGGTAATCTGGTTATAGTCTACTTCAAAATGAGTAAAATGGCTTTGAATAAGTAATGTTGTTTCCTTCATGAACTATCAAATTCTCCATGTTGTTTTTTTTGTTTGTATGTGCTTCCTTTGCCTTCATCCTTCAAGAAGCTTCTGATATTTACATCTTTCCTACTATCTCAGATGTTTCCGACTTTGATTCTGCAAAAGACTTTATTTGTCTTCTTACCCTTTTCATGATCATTATATACAAGATAACAGTTACTAGGTATGCACTAATTCTTTTTGTGTGTATGGCGATAATTTCAGATGGAAGAGGGATTCTGTTTGCTAAGAAATGCTTTCACAAAGGCAAATATGGGAGATGAACGTACATATTGTATCCTCCACTTATAAGAAATACATGGATATCGTTTCCTGTATGTTTTTTATTTTCATGGTCCTATGCTGATTGCTTTCTGAGAAAGCAGTTGTCTTTGACATCAGAAAGTCTTAACAAAACAATGGTACACTGCTGTGCTTGCAAGAATTCGTATCAATGCATTTCGCATTGATTTGGCTGGAGGAGCATATGAAGATCTTCTTTCATTAGCTGCGGCCTCCATAGAAGCTGAAGCTGCAGTAGGAAATGCTATTTACATGCTTCCATCCTTTTACAATCATGATTGTGGTAGGTTTTCTTGTTTCTCTACCAGTGATTACAGTTTTGTATGTTGTTCAGTATACATCATTTACCATGATTAATTCTAGAATTAGCGAAGAGCTTTTTTCATTCTTTTCTCTGTTTCAAAAAAAAAAAATGTCTACTGATAGGGACGGATAATTTGTCAACCATAACCTTGATTGTGCAAGCAGCAAGTTGAATTTTAATGAAATGTGGATATCTTAATTTTTACCACTTCAACAGTTCAAACTAATCAGTAGTCATGTTTCTTCTTGAAGGAGGTCCTAATTTCAAAAACCTGCGTCCTAAACTTGATTATCAAAAAGGGAAAAAGAGCTTAGGATGATGAATGAATATGTATATGAGGTCATATAAATTGAAATGAAGCCACTTTAAAAGGTTGATTAAAAACAAATAAAGTATCTTATATGTGCTATGCGAATGGAATGAAGCCATATTGTTGTTTTGCGATAGATAGTTGTATTTAAAAAACAAAGTGATTTACTAGTATTGAGTTACAGATCCCAACACACACATCATATGGATAGAGAATGCTGATGCAAAATTGAAGGCACTCCGTGACATTGATGAAGGTTTGTTTTCTACTGCTGGCTTTACATATTTATTTATACTTTTATCCTGGTCTGATTCCATTTGGAAGCCATTAGGCTGACTTTACTATTGGCACCAAAATTATCCTGATTCATTTAATGACATTTCTTCTCGGGAATCTTGTAGGTGAAGAGCTTCGGATATGCTATATTGATGCCAGCGTGAGTTGTCATGCTAGACAAAGTCTCTTGTCTCAAGGCTTTGGTTTCGAGTGCAATTGTCTGAGATGTTTGTCTGGTGATTAAGGGGCGTATGATCTTTACCTCTGATCTAATGAGTGTTTTTGTGTTTGCTCAATAAGGTTTAGAAGAATGTACTCATATGTCTGTTGTTTCTGACTGTAGTAAAGAGATTAGGTAAAGGGATGTACTCTGTTTTTCGTGTGTTTTTGTACAGGGCTGCTTGTAAGTTGAGAGTTTCTTAAGAGCACCTAAATGGAAACGGTTTAAATGTATAATTACATTTTTCAAACAACAGAAAATGGTGGAATCTGAATTCAACTTCAGGTTGGTTCGGACAAGCCCTTTTTCCTTTTCATGATATTTTCTTCATTACATGAAAGGGAATCGGAATTGCAATCATTTTCCATGTGGGAAACTGCTGCAGTCCTGATCCTTAATTATTCAGGCAGAGTAAATTTGAGCTAAATATGTTAGCCAAATTAAATTCTGAAGCTAGTAAGAGTAGCCAACAATGTCATTTAGACGTGTAGCGGGATTCGAACCTCTAACCTCAATTCTCGTAAAAGATGTACTGGAAATGAAATGATGTTTTTCACAGTAAAGTTTCCTAGTAGATGAATGAATATCGATATGGGCTATAATTAAATTACCAATAGCTACTGTCCAGGATTTTATTACTATGAAAGAGTTAATTGGGGGAGGAGCGAAAATCCCATCCCCATTCCAACATACTATGAGATAAGCCCCAATCTTTGCTTGCCTACTCACCTCATCCTCATCCCCACACCCTTTGTTTGCTAACATTTTTAAATCCAAAATATTCCAAATAGTTAAATATAATTCACCCAAGATATATAATAAAAGAAGATCAAGAAAGAAAAAAAAAAAAACTCCCGCCATCTTAGTCCTTGATGAGAAGTGTGATTGTTGAAAGAAATGGCATAAAGAGAGCCTTTGCATGAAAACTCTCTTTAAATAAGATGAAATAAATATTAAAGTATACCTAACTCTCATCTCCTTTTCCCCTTAAATTCACCCCATTCTTCTTGCTCTTTTTAATACTCCTTTCAATCTCTTTTTATGATTCAAAACCAAACTATTTCTCCTTTTTTTCTTACATAGGCAACAGTTAGTTTACTAGTGCTAAGTTGTTAAGCCAGCCGTTTTCTTTTAACTACCAAGAATGCTTTAATTTGTTGATCATACTTTCTTTCTTCTAAACTTCTCCTCTTCTTGTATCCTGATGGGGGCCTTGTTCCTCAATTCTTTCTCTGTTGCACCAAACAAAGTTGCAAGTGTTTCAAATAAATGTAACTCGTGGAGGAAGAAAAACATTTTTGTGCATTGCCAAGGAGGTGGCAATGCTTGGAAGACTAATGGGGTTTCTTCAGTTTTGAAAGAAAGATTGAAAATAGTTAATGCTGATAGTAGTGCAGCTATTATGGATGCAGGAAGCTTAATTGTGTCACCAAATCCAAATGGGAATAAACAGGCAGATATTGCAGTCAAAGATTTGGTGCCTTATGGTGGTTCAACTATTTCTTTAGTGGGGCTGCAAGAGGGCATTGGCATTGTTAAGTTTCTTAGAGGAAAGCAGTTTTTCATTACTGGTTCAACTGGATTTCTTGCCAAAGGTATATTTTTCTACTCATTATTTGCATTTTACTTCCATAACTTAACATTACTAGTAGACAGTTTTTACCAAAAATTTATAATCTTTTCAAGAAGCATTTTTATTCATTCATTCTTATTTTTTTGTTAATAATATGCAGTTCTTATTGAGAAGATTTTAAGAACTGTGCCTGATGTTGGGAAGATATTTCTCTTGATCAAGGCCAAAAATAAGGAAGCTGCAATGGAAAGATTGAAAAGTGAAGTAGGTTACGTATAATTGTGTCTTTTGTTGCTTATGCTGATTGATGCTCACATGTTTGAGTGATTTTTCCTGGTATTGAATCAAATTTTAGTTTTTTGTTTTATTTTAGATCATAAATGCAGAGCTTTTCAAGCGTCTACAACAAACATATGGCAATAATTACCAAAATTTCATGTTGAGCAAACTGGTCCCTGTGGTAGGAAATGTATGTGAATCTGATCTTGGATTGGATGGTGATTTAGCTGATGTGATTGCAAAAGAAGTCGACATAATTGTGAATTCTGCAGCTAATACAACTTTTGATGAAAGGTTATAGTTTTTTATCTTATATCTAAGATTGTGGAACTTATAAGAATAAGATCATTACTACAGCAAATTTAATCAATAGTTGTCATTATTGAATTGCAGATATGATGTTGCCATAGATATAAATACAAGAGGAGCATGCCACCTCATTGGTTTTGCCAATAAGTGCAAGAAACTTAAACTCTTTTTGCAAGTATCAACAGGCAAGTATCAAATTTAAAGTGTGACAACTCTTGTGCTTTGAGAAAATTTTCTTCAAGAACAACTGATTTCTAGTGTCAATTTGGAGATGATGATTTGTGGCTCATCTAACATCTACATAAATCTTGTACAGTTTTTATGTTTACTTTTGCACTCTTTGATTCCAGAAGCAACTTGGATATTTATGGACATCTTTGCCGATAAGCAGAAATTTTCTATTTAATGTGCAGCATATGTTAATGGCCAGAGACAAGGAAGAATTATGGAAAAGCCATTTGACATAGGAAATTGCATTGCAAGGGAAAATTTAATTTCTGAAACCACACCAAGATCCATACCTGAGTTAGATATTGAAGATGAGTTAGCATTGGCTCGAAATTCCAAGGAAGGTTGTCATGAAAGTGAAGTGGCTCAGAAAATGAAAGAATTGGGTTTGGAAAGGTGAGATTTCTCATTCTCTTTTTTCCCTAGTGGTTTGAGCTTGAGAAGCAGGAGAATAAATCAATAAACATTTAGAATCATACTATTAAATTTTATACATACTTTTCATAAGGAGTAAGTAATATACAAGTAATTTTTTTTTCTACATTTCCTCTGTAATAATGTAAGTTTTCTGTTTCTATAAGACAAAAGAATGATGACTAACACCTGTTCAGGGCTAGAAAATACGGATGGCAAGACACGTATGTATATACGAAGGCTATGGGAGAAATGATCATCAATAACATGAGGGGAGAAATACCAGTAGTAATAATTCGACCTAGTGTTATTGAGAGCACCTGCAAAGAACCATTCCCTGGATGGATGGAGGGAAATAGGTATCTCTTATTTAACTTTTAATATGATGCAATTATTTCTGACAAAATTTGAGATACCCTTTTCTTTTTCTCTTAGGATGATGGATCCAATAGTGTTATGCTATGGGAAAGGGCAGCTAACAGGTTTCCTGGTTGATCCGAATGGAGTACTTGATGTTGTAAGTAATCGTTATCTAATTCACACATCAATTTTTCGTACTCTAGTGTTTGATGAATTAATAGTGGAAAAACCTCCATCCCTCACATTTTATTTAAAACTCTTGAAGGCTTATTGCTTTCTTACCATGACGGATTACAGGTTCCAGCGGACATGGTTGTCAATGCAACGTTGGCAGCCATCGCAAGACATGGAATGACCCCAAAACCAGATATTAACATCTACCACATTGCATCATCAGTTGTAAATCCACTTGTTTTCCGGGATTTAGCCAGAATGCTCCATGAGCACTACAATTCCTCACCTTTTCTGGACTCAAGGGGTAGCCCAATCCATGTTCCGTCAATGAAGCTGTTCAACTCCATGGAGGATTTCTCTGCTCACCTCTGGAGAGATGCCATTCAGAGAACTGGATTGACAGAAGTGGCATCTTGGAACGGAAAGCTGTCTCAGAAGCTTGAAACAATATGCAGGAAGTCAGTGGAGCAAGCAAAGTACTTGGCTAATATATATGAGCCATACACATTCTATGGTGGAAGGTAAGTCAATTGTTGCATTAATCTCTGTTCGGTCATGGATCTTACATTGCGTCCTGCAAGTTCAAATCTTGGTCAGTCAGGGAAACAACAAATTTACAATTGAAAGACAGGAGAATTCTAATTCTGCCTAACTCTAGACAAATACATGAGAAACAGAAAATGCGTAACCAATCATTGTTGACTTATATCTTGTTGAGCCAACAACTTTTATTTACTTTTTGTTTGGATTTGTTTCATTGATGTGAAAAACAAAAACTGACATAGATGAATATCACAGGTTTGACAACAGCAACACTGAGAGACTAATGGAGATGATGTCTGAAGAGGAGAAGAGAAACTTTGGATTTGATGTGGAAAGCATAGATTGGAAAGATTATATAAAAAATGTCCACATTCCTGGTTTAAGGAGGCATGTTATGAAGGGCAGAGGGATGTGTTCTTCACCTAATAGCTAGATCTTACAATAATTATGTATGCAATAAATGAATTATACATTTTCTTCATGTTATAAAAACCAAAGAAGGCAGAGAAGTCTTGCCTTCTTATTTCTTATGTAATTTAACTCTTATATGAGAGTCATCAGTAAAGTTCATATCATTTATCGCGATGCACGTATTAATTTTTTTCTGTTTAAATATAAAACAAGTAACAAAAACATTAACCAAACGGAACATAAAATTTTATATCAGTCTTACAACTTGAAAAGGTAAAAAATAAAAAAGGTAAAGCATCAACTAAACAAAACCTTAATTAATCATATGAATTGAACAGAAAGAACTTGTGTAACATTAGGAAACACATAACTCATCCCATGGTACACGTTCTTGTTGTACAGGTGGAACCCATTTCATTCTGCGACAGACAACTAAAATAGATATTAAACGCTTTAGATGAAAACTTACCACCATCCATCGAATTTGAGGCATGCACTCACTGTAGCAACACAAACCGACCATTTGAATAGAAAGAAATGCAGTCTTGACAAGTACACAACGATGATTTTAAGTGTGGAAATTACTTTTGTTGTAGTAAGGATTTGGAGAAGTAAATGCGAGGAAGTCAGGATTCTGTTCCAATATATCCATTACTTTTTCGTCTAAAGTAATCCATGCTTCTATGGCCTAGTGCTGTCCAATCTCTTTCAGAACAATGGGATTGCTATACGCATGATAACGACGATCGATCCCCGCAAGACTCAACAATTTCGGCTCTCCCCATTCAAAATCCATTTCACTTCCATCCAGAGTATTCAAAAAACTAGAGAAACCATAAAAATCTATGTCTCCTTGTGATGCAAATTCTGCTACCTGATTCAGTTGCTCACTCATAAATTTTAACCCTTCTTCACCTTGAAAAAGGCCCAGTTGATTGATGAAACTTTCCACTGCTTCACTGACCAAATAAGCCAAGTGATGTAACTCTATGTCGTTCTCAACTGAGTTATATGTGGCAATTGAGACGGGAACCAGATTCCCAATGGAATGACCTGGTAATTTTGGCTTCATTCTTGGTCGTATATTTACTGCTTGGGCTAACAGAGATGGTTTAGTGTCTCTACTTGATCTGTTCGCTCAATATAATCAGATAAGCAGCCGTTCACCCTGGCTTCAACATATGGCACTCCCTTATCGTAGGAACCAATGTAGAGGTTGTCAATTGTCCGACCACCCAAAGGATAAAACTGATCCAAGGCTTTTGAGAGGATTTCTTTAATTGCTCCAAGACTTGGGCACTGTCGAAATGGGAATCACTAGGTTTGGTGTAAAAGAAGATGATTGGGGTATAATGTGCTGGAATCACTTGATCTAGTAATGAAATTGGGAATGGCTTCCGAAGAATAACTTCCTGGGAAGATGGCCTAACCATTTCCTTTGAAATAATGCGAATTGTTGCCATCTCTATTGTAAACAAAAGAGTATATACGTTAAATTCTTCTTACTTTGCTGCAACAGTTGCAGTGTTTCTTTTATTATTTATTTATTTTGAAAGATTTTCTAAAGATTATAATTTTTTTATACAAAATAAATTACAATTTGAAGATAAGAGAAAGAACTGTATACAAGTATTGATATTTGAATTTCAAATTAAAATTTTAAAAATAATTATATGAATTAATTAAATAAAATTTTAAATTTATTTTTTGAAAATTATTGTAATTAGAAACACACCGACCCCAAAGAACTTGTGTACCATTTGAAAATATATAATTCATCCCATGATGCACGATCTATTTGACATATTTCATATATTAGGCTCATGATTAAATCTATTCTAACTTTATTAATTCCATTCAATGAACAATCAAGTTGTGGATTAATGCTTCCTAATTCTTACATAATTCTATTTCAAAATACAGTGTAAGATCTTACTGTATAATTTGATGAACCATATGTCTCATCTATATGTATTTTAAAAATTTAATACAAAAAATGTGATAACAATATAAATTCATTCATGCGTTTGCTTTAATTACAAAATTATAAAATAAAATAGTAATACCACTTAAATATATTAGTGAGTTTTAATTCAAGTTTTTAAAGCATGATAAATTGCCCTCCAAGAAGTGTACTTAGACCATTTGTATAGCTCCAAAATTAGAAAAGGAAATATTAATGAAATTAAAATATTAATGAGTTTGATAAATTATTGAAATTTTGTAATATTTAATGTATTCGATAACTTATTTTTAATGAAATTATAAATATAAGTTACAATTATAATCAAGTATTATATGTCTGAATAATCAAACAAACAAATAAATTAATAAATTAAAATATAATTAGATATATAAATTAAATATAAAGTTGAGACAAACCCATATACAATAAGATTTAAACCTAAAATCGCATGATTATAAGACATTATCTTTACTATTAAACCAAGATTTAATTGATTATTTAATAACTTATTTAAAAATCATTTAAATAGAATGTTTTCAATGAAAAAAAATATTAATGAGAATCTTAAACAGTTAATAAAGTTACCTAATGCTCTTAAAAAATTACTTAATGAATTCAATCATTTTTATTTAAGGAAAATTTTGTCATTTAATTGCATTACTCTTAAATTTCTTTATTTTTCAAATTAGATTAATGCAAAATATTTAATAAAAATAAAAAATCTAATTTATATTTAATTTCAGTAAAATATCAAACTATTTTTATACTCTTTTAATGCTTAATTTTTTAGTTATTTTTTAAAATTTATTATCGTAAAATATTCATTGATTAGTGATCCGATTTTCCTAAAAAAAAAAAAAAAATTGGTTAAATCCATGGTCATTGGCCTCCAGGACCAGTGAAGATGGTGAAGAAACTGCCAGATTTTAATCATATTCAAACTGAAATTGACAAGTCTGGCTTCATGTAATAGCATCGTACCTAATAACAGACTTGAACTTATAACAAAAAAAAAAACTAATTTTTTAAATACAAATGTCAAAATCAAAGATTACATAAACTAAGTTCTGGATGGAAAAAAATCCCCCAATTGTTATTGCTTGACATGAAAAAATATAAATCCTCTGGATGGATGCTCAACATTTTCTTTCCTTAATTTCCTTTTGATTAAGATGCGAGCCAATTAATCAATATTGAATGGCGTCAAAAAAAAAAAAAAACCTTTTAAATATTTTAGGTTAAAATATTAAAATAAATTTTAAATTTTATTATTTTATTTAGATAAATTTTTATATTTTTATATTTTAATTTATATTCAAGTGTACTCTTATTTCAAATAAAAAATTAATTTATGTTAAAAGTTTATTTAAATATAAATTAAAAGATAAGGATTATTAGGATACAAATAAAAAATTTTATTTGGATGTACAATAAAAATTAAAAATTTATTTAAATGTAATAAAAATATAATAATTTATTTAAATAAAATAATAAAATTCAAGGAATTTTATTATTTTAGCCATTTTTTTTAACCTAACAATCACTTTCTCTTTTTCAAAAGGTTGAATTTATGATTCAAATTTTATCTTTCATTTCTCCTTTATATCTGAAAATTTGTGACAAATATATACAATAAATAAGCAAAATTGCTAACTTTTTTTAATTAAAAATTAAAATTATGAAGAATTGAACTCTATCAACAATCACAAAATTTTATTTTTTTAATAAATAAAAGCGTTATGAACCAACTCGACCTAATTTTAGAGAAAAATTTGTGTTAAAAGAATAAACTAATGAGTCAGATAAATAACCAACGACTGAAAATTGTGCTTTACAATACTCATAGTTCACTAATATGCACCATTCTTTTATAAAGAGGCTTTGTCTGTCACCAAAAAAACAAGGCTTTGTCACAATATGCAATTTAGGTTTCACTTTTTATTATCCATGTATCTACCTAACTTAGCCTAAATTTAGGCTAGTTTTTTTTTTTTAATCAAATTGGGGTGGCCTTTAATAAAGTAACCTATAAATCTAATGAAATATTGTTGAAACTCTTTAACCTTGCTATCTACCATGATGAATGCTATTAATAATCATAATTAGTATTTTCAACATACCATATCCAATCATAAATGAATTGGAAAACATTATTGTAACATAAATTTTACTTAAAATTACTAAATTTGAGGGTCAAATTATAATACTAGTAATTTTTTACTATTTTAAGTTATTTTTAAGTTATTATGGTTTTTAATTTAAAAAAATGAGACAATAACATAAGCTTAATGATATCTTGATTTTTTTTGGTGGGTTTATATATATATATATATATATATATATTTACATGAGTGATAAGAAAAAACATATATAAGACATGCATAAGTTTCAATTTTCTAGCATCACATTAAGCACTCTAAAATTTTATAAAAAATCCAAATTAAAAACATTTTAATCAATTGAGCCATTAAGAAATAGTTGGGAAAAAAATTGAATTGCCACTAACTAACACAAGCAAACAAATCAATAACTTGGGAAACAAAACACATGGCCATGGGAGTTGGCTAAGCCGGCAACAGCTCATTCTCTTTAAGATTGGTTCATTCATTGGAACCCACAATTATAAAAGTAATTTATCTATAATTTTCTTTATTATAATTTTATAATTATATTTATATAATTTTTTAAAATATTTTATATAGTATTAAATTATAATTAATTACATTACAATAATTACAATAATTATAAGTGATCCAAAGCTCCAATGACCAAAGTATGGTTTTAATTTTTTTTTAAATCTAAAAAAAAAATTGTTGATTTTAAAAACACTTTCAACCCTCCTATTTCAAAATATTTTCTTTTGCCCTTTGACCGTTTACATCGACACTGTTAGTGAAACGATAAGAAAATTAAACCACATCATCACAATTCTTCTTTTATTTTCAATCTTGGAAAAACCTTCCAAACCTCTTCACAATCAAATAGATTTGTTTTAGGAATTCAAGCAAAATTTCATTTAGATTTCATGTGCAAACAATCATTCAGAGTTCCTCCAAAAATGCAAATACCCATTTTGGTAAAACCTTGAATTCTTCATTTCCCTTCACTAAAAAAAGATGAGAATGCCAAACCTACAAAAACTAGTCACTCATGAATGAATCCAGATCATTTGAAGCCAGCAATTCAAGAATGTTCATAACTCCAAGCTCAAGGATTAATTGAACCAACCTCTTTTTCATGGGTGTGTGAAGCGTTCTATATCAACAAAAGATCGAAA